CGAAGCGTTAAAAAGTTTTATGTTTTATCTTGGTTGAATCAACCGCAGCGGTCCAACGACTAGCGGTGGAGCGCAGTGAGTCGTGGCACGATTTAAGTGCGCGCGACTGATTGACTCATGTCACGAATCGCAAAGTATGAACGCGCGCCAGCTTTCATTATTATCCTAACAAGCCACAGATAACACAATATTGCTACGAGCGAATTCCCCACTAGCTAGAAAAGCTTTTCCGCGTAATACCATGGGATCAGACACGCATTCATTTCCTCAGAACGAAGAAGCCAAAGCACGGCTCAATGAACACTCGACGTGATCCCCTCCAACCCGAATATGAGAGCGCTCAAAAAAACGAGTTCCATATCAACAACGTGATACCTATACAACGATGATTGAGACAAATGCCATACAAAAAAAACTGAGAGGGAAAAAACAACAGGTTTAACATAAGCCTGGATGAAAAAAAGTCAAATTTTAGAGGTATGAATGAAAATTGCCGGACAAGTGAAAACAAGCGTACAAATACAATGTCCCGTAAATAACAGCGTGTTGCGTGATCTCAAATCACCCGAGTAGGACATAATTCTATCATTCTGCGCGTACACAGTACGTCAGAACCTACACATCTAGTTGAGTGACTGAGAAGTTGGGGAGAATGGGGAGGGGGAAGGGGGAGTGGTGTTTAGGACGAGATGTGAGTGCTACTTGTACAATCAACGGAACATTGAAGAGGTCAAAATATTGAGGCGATATACATTAATATGATGACGTATTACAATTTACGAGGTTCTTTTATACAATCAAGGGGGTAACATAGTAAATAAAAGTAACAAATAAACGATGCAAACCACCACAAACTAAAAAAGCTCTACTGAATAACAACACACACAGCCGTAGAACGTGGGAGGTATAACAAAATGTGTTCAAGTTGCATAAGTTTCTTGAGACATACTACACACACATACACACAGGCCCGTTAATGATCATTAGTACCTGAATTTTTTCTGCTAGCCGATTTCAGTAACCTGGTTCAATTGCAGATTGTAGGAAAATGCAAACGTCAAAATAACATAACCGAGCAAAAACGTTAGAAGGTAAGAACAAAACAGTTATGCAACGTGAAACTATCCACTGGGATCAATCGGATGATTGCCATTTCCAGGTGGCGAATTCTTTCTGAAAAAAGGTTAATAACTATCAAGAAATAAATCACTGGATCGATAAATGAATACATTCTAAATGCAGTAAAAGTACTAAACCCCTATTAGTGGGCGAAAACCCTCACGTCACGTCAGTTTAAAGGCAGCCTGCGTGCTCGAGTAGTACATAGCCGTCCTTCCTTGCGCAAGTAGCACAGCCCCCCCCCCCCCCAAGCTAGAGACTATCCCACTCTCGCGACTCCACAGCGAGCGAGGAGCGAGCTACAGCTGCTGAAAGTTCTAGTTCTAACGCCCAGTTGGACCGCCCACTTGCTAGATGCCCTCTGACGGAGGGCCGCTCAGTTGTTCTTCGTTGGGGCGGCGGGCATTAATAATGATTTTACTCTCCTTTATTATATTTTATTAATCAGGAGCACATACAGTCTCCTTGCAAGGTAAAATGCGTAAAAATCACGAGCGACCCAAATTTCGTGGTGCAAAAGCTCGACGCACCACACTACACTAAAAGATGCACGCTGTAACCCTAAATTCGGACGCTAGTTTTTGAAAGTTTCTTTTCCTTTTCAAGAGTTTTTCTTCCGTGTTTTTGTTGTTTTTCGTATTCTTTTCATTGCATTGGATGACACCCACTACTGGGAGATGTGATAAAATTTGTGAGCCAGGGGTTGCACAGAGACCGCAGGAAGGTGTGACTGCCAGTGAGCGATTTTGCTTGTAGTGAGGACTCTTCTTGTTTTTTTCTTCTTCGGGCAATTACTTATGAGCGACTGTTTCATAATTGAAGAGCAACTATCCATGACTCTTTTATCGCGGGAGCTGTCTTTAAATTCGCCTGAATAGCAACATTATTTTGTCTGCAACAGCGCATCACTGATCCGTTTACATGGGAGAGGCATTACTTCACAGATGGGATCCGTCTGCCCCACATACACATCAAGGTAAAAGGCGGGCGGACCCCGATCCTGCTCCCGCCCACGCGGACCAACGCTTCTACCCACAGGAGAAGGCAGATTAACACCAGATTTGGATGAGGACACTGGCTTGTATATCGACTGGCCTCCGCAATTCGCTGTATAAGCCATTCATCAAGCATGCTGAATGGAAGTGGAACGCCGCGTCCCAAAAAGGGCCTGTACAACGGCGAAGACTTTATCCTTCATCCTTTATATGTAAACTCCCTCCCCGTGCATACCTTTGAGAAATAGCAATTTCAACTGTAACCCGCTTTACCGGATTTTCTTTGATTCTGACAACAAGTAGCGCTAAAGACTTCGCATTCCCTGTGAACTGTTCAACTGCCTCAAAAATCACAACCGTTTTCCGCATAGCTTCTTCTCACCTCCGCCCCTCTTACTTCTACACATAAGAAAACTCGTGCAGGTTCATAACTTTACAGGATTTCACCATATCTGCAAAATTGCCTGGTATATTGACTGGATGCATAAAACTCATTATGCCGACTACCGGCCAGCTTCACTTGACCAAAAGGGGTTCAGTCAGCCAAAGAACGATATTCTGAAACCTTGCATTTCCCCTACTAGTTTATTCTTTACCTACCGGTAAACACTGCTTTACATAAAAAGGGTAGAGGAAGAGGTAGTCGCTAACCCGCAAAAAAAACTATCAGAATTCCAGAGCAAAACAAGTGCAACAATCAATACAAGTTGCAGATACCCTACTGTAGTGTTGAGGTTAGTGCGAGAAGAGTCATAAATAATCAAAAATGGCGCCGACGCAATCGTTGACCCAAAAATTCTACAATTTAACGAATCTAAATATTCAAAGAACGCTTACCCAGTAGCGGAATCTGCCGCGGAATCTCCCACTGTAGTGATGTTTTCGGCTGGATCAACAAGCGGTGTTGTTTCGGTAACAACTCTAGCCGCTTCTTGCGCAGCCGCTACATTTTCCGCGACCGCATCGAGATGTGACCAGTCAAGCTCCAACTGAAAACACGCACCATCAGCAACCTTCGTCATCCAAGGCTGCAGCTTGATATCGATTACTCACGGTCAGCCCTAGCCGGATTATGTAAGGGAAATAAAGACGTGGACCAGAATAGTTTTAAATCAGCCAGCTGGCCGGGTTCGGCTCAGACTACCTACCTTCCCAAGATTGGCACGTTCAGCTATTTCTGCGGCATGACGTAATGCATCCAAATGACGATCCATTTGTTGCAACGGTTCTCCCATAGCCTAAAATGGAGCGTTTCTTCATGAAGCCGAGGATCTTTCTGGTGAAGTGCTAGCGCTGAGTGGGCCAAAGAACACTTCGTCCCAACCTCTCTGTACTTTTGACTAATGAGCGAGAACGGCAGATACAATGCCCAGCATACGGTAGCCAGCGCCGTCGCACGGGCCTCTAACACACGAATATCGACCTGTAAAACGCCAATTTCTCGTCTGACTTTCGAAATAGTTTGTTGCGCCAAACTCACAGCAGGGCTAGCCACAGCGCTCAGTAAATCATCAAATCGTGGCATCACACGTAGAGTTGCCTGACACAGCATATGGTTTAGCTGGGGTGAAGCATGCTGTAATGGTACAGCAGCCAATTGATCCGTTAGTTGATGACAAAGGCGAAGAACAGCAACGCAATGCTGAAGCAGGCCAGTAACGTCGTATACCCATGTGTTCTTATCGAGTGCTTGTGCTGAAACCAAAATCGATCAATAACTGGGACAACAGAACGATTTTGTACCTCTTGAGCAGAGAACAGTAGGCAAAGGCAAACAAGCACTACAGGAGTTGGTGCAAATTGGAGACTGCGCAAAAAATGCGAAAAATGAGACATTTGAGCCGGGTCAGGGGACGTCCTGCTGTTGAGAAACATTTCGCAAAATACGACCGCCCCCTCGGAAATCCCTCTTCTAAACAACCCCTTCCTTCTCTATTCCCTACTCCCCCCACTTCATACTCTTTTCCGAGAAAATGAACAACCACAATCACTTTCTCAAGAGCAAACACGACCTACTTCCCTCCTCCAGCCGAATACGACCCCCCTCGCTGGGGATCCCTCATTTACGACGTGCCCTGCTCATGAATATCATAAGATTCAAATAACTTTGGTCTTAAGAGACGTGTGGCATAGGCACCCAATGGGAATCAGCCGCAAAACTCACATTCATGAAAAATACGAAATGATAAGGGGCTCAAAAGCAGTGCGTTGAAATGGATTCTAGCCACGCCCATAGATATTTCAGTGATAGCGTCTCAAGTACGTATCATATGGTTATACGAACCACACCATTGGAGGGCTATTGGATGGCCAATCGTCAATGCTCCCAATGTGGGCCCATATAATGTGACCCCATGAAAAAAACTCTCGAAGAAATAAACAGCTATTCATGGGGGGGGGACTGCTGGAAATTTCTTGGAAGATGTTAGGTAGGACGCGGGATGGGCAACAGGACTGTACTGCCAAAGCTTGCTGCCTGTACCGCCCGTACGGCTCGATCCACAGAGACATTCTGACGCTGATTTTACCCCCTGTCAAAGCTATTTTTTATTTTCTAGTGGAAACATCCTGTTTCTCATCGTTGTCCTTCAAACCGTTACGTAAAACAACAACAAAATACCCGTATATATCCTAATTTACTTATGTATTTACTTGCAAACTGTGATAATGCATGCCCTTCATATGCGCGGAACATCCCTGTCTGAATAGAAAACGTCTCAAAGTCGGACATTTGTATGCGAGGGGGTTGCCGGCGTTAGATGTCCTCGACAGTCATGGGCGCTAGCCATTGTCCCTCTCTCTACCCCCTCAGTCGTGCTCGCTATTGCTGACGAAATGGCAGTTTCTTATCTTGGCACGTAGCCAGTGACCTTCATGCGAACCACGTAACCGGTTCGTCCGCATTATAATAGCCTGCTAGCCATAACACCAACAGCGCGATACTTGAGAACCACGGTTTAAGAATTACAAAACCTTTCCACTACACAAATTGCTAAAAACTTCCATGGATATTCCACCAAACGAAATTTCATGATCACTCCCAACAAAAATTAGCACATCGCAAAGATAATATTGTTATTGTGAATGAAGGAAGCTTCGTCGCTCAACGTCCTCAGAGGAGCTTCGCTTAAGCAGGACAGAACGGTGTTGACGAACCCTCAATGGATCGTGTCTGCCCCGCTGAGAAAGGTCTGGATTTGTGCGAGATTGGAAAGAGCACCTCCTCCCAATCCCGCAATTTAGTCGATAAGTAGTTCTCAGGAGAGTTGATGTTCCCAGGAAGTAATAAAGACGCAATTGCAAGGGTGACTACTGAAAGTTGGGTGGAGGGAGATCGTACACAGGCGGCAAATAAAAGCGGTGTCGCGCGTGAACGGAACTCCTACGTTCTGGGCAACCCATATGCCAACCGTTCCAAAAGCATTGCTCCCTCAATGCAAAGGCAAAATCTAATCGAATGAAATTTACGATGAAAAGCATAGAATTCAAGGTCATCACGGACATTCTGAGCTGCCAGATGTTGTAAAATGCTTATTTTTGCCATGCAAAAATGGCCACATCTGGGATGGAACAATTCAATGAAGCCGTTGGGGCTGATGAGTCTCCAACGAATGTGTCAACCGTTTATCACTCACTCAAAGCAGTAAGGGCAATCGGAGACATATGAAAACTTTACAACGCTTGTGGCTTACTGTTACAAACGGTGACTTTGTCACAATGATGCTGAACTACGAAAAAAAAAATGGTCCCAGCCAAAACCTTGCCCTGCCTTGACTTGCCGCCTATCGATCTAGTAAGCCAACAACCACATCACTACCTGCCCCCCCCCCTCCGCCGTCTTGGACAACTGAACGGCTTCTGTTGGCACTATTTACCCTTGTTGCCTACTCTCAAAGGTGGACTTTTGTCTCCTGTTATCGCTTTACATCTTGAGCACGAATATACCACCCGCTTGATTCGACATGCGTTTGTCGCACGCACCACAGGCAGCCGCACTATAAGCCTCAACATCTCAAGTGTGCTGTGCTCAAAACCTGTCCCAGGAGGGGGGGGGGAGGTAGTTCGACCCCGTGAACACGAATATCACATTTGCCTGGCGCGAAAATGCCTGGTAGATTCGCCACAAGCACCAACATCTGACCCCGGCTCCCATGGGATGAACGGTTCGTCAAGCGCTTTCACAGGCGGGCGCGAACAGCCGGTTCAGATGGGACACCCACATATATTGTTGCCACTACTGACTAGTTGAGTCAACTACCTAGTATATGTTGATTTGGCAGTCATAGCGCTTTCGGATATAATGAATTACACCCCGATTCAAGTGGCTCGTTGATTATAGTAGGTGGTGCATTCACGGACAAAAACACAACACAATGAAACTCTTAACACTCGAGTAGAGAACGTCATTCGCTGGGAATTCTAGCAAGAAAGCGTCGTGTTTAGTCGCTGGGAGGAGAGGGGGGGGGGGAAGCCTGTATGCGCCTTTGCGAAAAATGGTTTCTTTTGTGTGACTTTTCTCGGTTTTTCCTGTTTCACCGGTGATTCCTCCATTTCCATCCCCATCCCCTGACTGTTGCCGGAGATCCCTGGAAAAAGTTCGGGAAAGGTGCAGGAAGTTGGGAGAATTTGGGAAGATGTTATGTGGGTTGAGGGATGGGAAAGGGGGAGGGGTCGCAGCAGAGGAAATTTTGAAAGGGGGTCGTATTTTGCGGGAAATTTTTCTCAACGCCAAGGTGCCCTAGTTTCAAGCCATATTTCACGTGATGGAGACTCTGACAATTATCTAGTCCTTTTGGGTCATCATGCATACATTTCTGCCCAATGGACCCAACGAATTCTGTAGCCACAACTTCCCCCCTCGCTTGATTACATCCGTTACTTGAGAACTACGAAGGAGAAGAGGACTGAAGAGGATTAAAGGCAACGAACGCTTTGTTGCCAGAGTAACCGTCCTCCTAAAGCAGAAGCTCTTATGACTTATCTATCCTCTGCCTAGCCCACTTGTTCGACGTAATAACTGCCCAACACTTTTTATAGCGCTAAGCAGTTTGTTTCCATAGAAACAATCAATTAGCTTAGAAGTGGTACTCGCAAGCATCCGTGTTCGAGCGTTCCTAATCAAGATAATTAAGGATTTGCATCGACCAACGACTACCTAATTCATGCAAAGACGAACGATCACACGGAAACATAGAGTGTTCCTTGGGTTCTCATTCGCGTGAACATGAAAATTGTACACTCGATGAATCATAATACTGCTGTACGAAAACGCGTCTGCTCTTTGAATAAATGGAAATGATAAATGCAAATTTCCTTCGACTGCGTCCCCATTCATAGGAGCTTCTCATCAAATATGGAATAGGATTCCCTACAGATTTTGGCTGGACACTGGAAGGAAGCAAAACTGCAGGCTTTGAACACAGTGCAGAATGATTGAGGGCTACTTGGGCGGACTGGTTCTCAACACGCAAAGAGAAGAACAGCTGCGTTGGGACCGCTTGAAAAGCGTGGACTAGTTCTAAGTCGCTACCTAACGTCGCACTCACAAGGGAGGTCTTTCAGGTCGTGGCGCGCTTTTTGGAAATGGTTTGTTGCTTGTTGTAGGGGTCCATACAAGGATCACAAAAATGGGTTTCATTTTTGCTATGCGTTTCTGGGGAGGTCAAAAATTGAGTGAAAATTTTGACAAGAATGGGCGATTTTAACTATCTTAATGGGCTCAGTTCTGATTGTAACTCCGAGCATGCATAGTTTATGAGGTGTTCTTTAACTAGGCTTCGAAAATAATTTCAAATAAAGTCAAAATTCAAAGTCATAATAGTAACATCAATTATAGCACACATTCCCATGCACTGACTGCAACAGTGACTTTTTTGTCGGTCGGCCCCTCATAAAATGTACGGCCGGATCGGATGGCGCAGAGATACTCATGGATTCTGGATGGGAGACGACGATACTTTGTTTGAAAGTATTTTCGAAGCCTAATTAACGAGCACCTCATAAACTATGCATGCTCGAAGTTACAATGAAAGGGAGCCAACCTAAGTAATTAAAATCCGCCCTTCTTATCAAAGATTCGTTTTCAGCTACATTTCTTGCACCTTTTTGGCCAAATCGGCATAGCAAAAACTGATGAAACCAAATTTAAGTGTCCCTTGATGGACCCCTACACAACAGCACAAACCATTTCCGAAAAGCGACGCCCACGAACCTAAAGACTCCCTGGTTATGTTATACCTAGGCAATGAAACATCAAATCAAATCCCATGGCCGACTTGGGATGAGCACTTTTCAATCCAATAGTTCATTTGCTGTTTTAATCATCGATAACTGCCTTTACGCCGCAGTTCGCAGTTCTGAAAAGTATCACATAATGTTGATTGTGGTCAAAAATCCGTTCCCACGGGAGTCGAACCCGCACCTTCATCTTTCCGGCGAGTGCACTATCCCGTTCACGCCAACAGGCCGCTTTGTACCCTCCAGCTTAGGCTTTATGTCTACCTAACACACTCAACTACGTTCAAACTGTGTGAACTCCGCCAGCCGTAGATCGTTAAGATATGCATGAAACCTGTCGAGGCCTAAAGGCTTTGAAATTTAGATGTTTTTATATTATGATAACTGCTGTTTTACGCCGCAGTTCGCGTTCTGAAAGTTATCACAAGAATGCTGAGTTGTGGGCAAAAGTTAAACGTGTGAGTGCTGATAGGCTACGGCATAAAAGCCGTTAAGCTGAGAGGGTAAAAGCGGCCCTGGTGGCGTAACGCACTCGCCCGGAAAGCGTGAGGTGCGGGTTCGACTCCCGCCTGGGGCACGACTTTTGCCCACAACTCAGCATTCTTGTGATAATCTTTTGCTTGTTCCTGTTAAATAGCACGTCCTACCTTGGTAAGACCTGTGAATTCCAATCAAGTGTAAACGAAGGTAGCGCTAGGACATCTTAACTGGAATTCACAGGTCTCCACAGGAGGCATCGCTAGTATCGCTGTGAACCAGCAAAGTGCCCCAACCAAGCCGAACAGCGCCAAACTAGATTCTAAATGAGAGTGACTGATCAACTATTGTACCATGTACCAATCGGAATCAAGCTTGACATAGGAACCGCTCCGACTAGCTCATCCTGCGTTCCGAAAGGAAGTAACTTTCCAGAACCTAATAAGTGGATAAATAAACAGATAAACAAAGATTATTAACAAAACTATCGTTCTAGGGAAGAGCAGCATTTTCATGACACCTACTTATTTCCA